ATTTTTTTCGGATAAAAAAAAATGCAATCATTTTAGACATCAGAGAGCGAAAACGAACAGAACCGAATCGAACTAATTTTTAAAAAATGAGTGAATATAAGCAAACGTGGAAAAAAGTGTAATCAGGTGGCCTATGGTCTGTTTCTTAGAAATATATGCTGTTGACAATGACTAAACGACCTTTGGCCATTTCTTTTACATAACTAATTCAATCTGCATGCAACGTTTTGTTCCTTGTTCATAATAATTACACATTGTGTCCATAACAGTCAGTCACTTGTAAGCGGCGTAAATTTTTAATGAAAGAAATGTGTTTTGAGCAACAAAAAAAAGGTGAGGATGTGGGTGTAGGTGTGCGCGTAGATGAAGTGAAGACTCACATCCACACCCACCCACATCCCACACCCAAAGCAAGTAGTTACATTCAGTTATGCCAAAAAACATGACACAATTGTATCAACAGTGGGTTTGAAACTGGGTCTGCTCATGAAACGCACCCACATCGACACTTTCTGTAAGATGAAACATAATTCTGTCAGTGAATTAGAGATCTGATTAAATTCTGCTATAGGCAGAAGATTGTAAGAAAAATTTTGAGTTAGGTACCAGAAGCAGTGCATGTCATGGATTATAATTCTACTAGAAAATTAGAATTTTGACACAATTCTTCTGTAGTGAATAGAATTCATACGAGAAGTATTTCCATGAGAATCATCTTAATATGAATATGAGCATAATGTGCATATAGATATTGATAGATATGTTTAGAATACAGAATTTGTAAATTACCATCTCTCCGACTGAGAGTAATCAACATAAAACAAACCAGTAATATAAAAATTGTGATTAGATTTTGTTTTCTTGTTTGACTGTAACTTTTGAGATATTTTTTAATCATATTATGTAAAATGAAATTTTCTTTTTCAAGTTTCATCTAACATTTCATTAAAAATTCTAATTTAATAATATGAGACATCGTTTTTCTTTGTCTCTTTAAATTGATTTGAGTAAATAATAAGAAAATTTCATAAAGGTTTAAGATTTTAATCTAACGTTCTATTGGACATTTTCACTGTTGTATCTTAAGTTTTTTACCATTGTTTTTATTAAAAAAATAATATACCCTCTGTTATCAAATGCTTCAAACACTCCATTTAGATATAGTAATTATAGAAATGTGGCAAGTGACAGTGATGAACTGAACTTCTCCATCATCGCGGGTGGATGAGTGTGGGTGGAAGTGTAGGTGGGAGTTGATATCTTAATCTGCATTATGGGCTCCTACATATCCACACCCACCTACACCCGCATCCACACATGCTCCCACATATACCCGTTTTTTAATATGATCAAAACCTAACATATTCTCATTTCTCTTGATTTCAAATTATTTTTGATAATTGAATTTAGTGGCATTCTCAATCTATCTTTTTACTAAATAAATTGCTTTTTTCTAATTGATATTTGATAGTACAGTGTTCTATGACAAGAATGTTTTGTATGCTGTTTTATAAACATATATATGAGTGAATTGCAACTTTTTGGTACGATTGAATTTTAGCTGTATTTTTCGAATAACTTTTTTTCTCTTCAGTCGATTTGGACAATTTTTTTGCAGAGTAGTAATCCCTAAATGTCCCACTTCCACACAAAATTACAGCCGTCTATCTAGTACTGTAGGTGACTTATGAAAGATGGATGGGTGTGGGTGTGGGGTGTGGGTGTATGGGGTGTGGGTGAGTGTGGCTGTGGGTGTGGGAGCCGGTGTGGGTATGCGGTGTGGGTATTCAAACATTATGATACCCACACCCACACCCACAACCACCCACACCCACATCCACACCCACCCACACACCCACACCCACACCCTACACCCACATCCACACACCCCATACCCACACACTCACACCCATACCCACATACACACCCAAACACACCCACAACCCACACCCATACCAACCCACATCCACCCACACCCAACCCACACACCCACATCCACACCCACGCCTACACCCACACCCACACCCCGCCTACACCTCACCGACACCATTTTCGTGACATCACGTTACTCCAGCGTTAGAGTTATTAAAGGTGCAAATTTCTCTCACTTCAATCATCTTTACATATGCAAACCTCATCAATTTCCAAGCAATCCAAATTTCTAGTTGAATCGCTATAGGGACCAATATTTAAAATTTAGCTTATGACTTACTGCTCGTAGCAGTTTGCGATTTTGTAGTAGCAGCCTATGTTGTTGCATCAATCTCTGGTGTTGTAGCAACTCCTGTTATTGTTGTATCCACCTCTGATGTTTTAGTAGCTTCTGTTGTTGTTGCATCAACTTCTACTGTTGTAGTCGCTTCTGTTATTGTTGTAACAATCTCTGTTGTTGTAGCACCTTCTGTAGTAGTAGTAGTTGTTGTTGTTGTCGTATCAGCCTCCGCTGATGTAACAACTTCTGTTGTTATAGTAGTTGTTGTTGTTGATGTTGTAGGGGCTTCTGATAATGTAATAGTAACTATTGCTGCACTCGCTGTTGATGTAGTACTAATTGCTGTTGTTGTAATATTAATTGATGTTGTAGCAGTTACTGTTGTTGTAACAGCTTGTGATGTTGTAATACTAGTTGTAGCAGCTTCTGTTGTAGTAGTAGTAGTAGTTGTTGTTGTTGTTGTATCAGTCTCCACTGATGTAACAGTTTCTGTTGTAGTAGTACTTGTTGTTGTTGATGTTGTAGGAGCTTCTGATGTTGTAATAATAACTATTGCTGTACTAACTCTTGATGTAGTAGTAGTTGCTGTTGTTGTAGTATTAGTTGATGTTGTAGCAACTTCTGTTGTCGTAGCAGCTTCTGTTGTTGCAGCAGCTTTTGATGTTGTAGTACTAGTTGTAGCAGTAGTTACTGATGTTGTAACAGTTGCTGTGGTAGTAGTTGTACTACTATCGGAATTTTAAAAGAAGACCGGTGGAAAAAAGCTTATAATTTTTCAACGAAAAGCCAAAGCGACCTGCAGTTTTCACCATTTGAAAGAGCAAAGTGGGGCACGTGAACCTACGTAAAAATCGATGGGTCAATTCATAAAAGTACCGGTTACCTGGATTTTCAAATTTGGCACAAAATTGCAGTGAATATATCCATTTTTCATATTTAACCTCGGAATATAACTGATTCCAACATCAGATATACAGTAGACGGTGCCTCTGTATCACTTGAACTCAACAAGATAAAATGTTCAAGTTATGTTGTTTGAAAGAAAAGGATTCCTTATGAGAAAAAGGAGATTGGAAGTTTTGAAATTTGAAGCTTATTTTAGCTACTTTCGACAAATTGTTAAAAATTGACAAGCCTATGTCTTGTTTAAGTGATCGACTTTTACAGAGGTTCATGTGCCCCGCTGTGCTCTTTCGAATGGTGAAAACTGCAGGTCGCTTTGACTTTTTGTTCCAAAGTTATAAGCTTTTTTCCACCGGTCTTCTTTTAAAATTCCGATAGTAGTAGCAGTTATTGTAGTAGCAGCTGTTGTTGGGGGTGTTCATGTTGTAGTCGCTGATAACGGTGTAGTAGATGTTGTTGTTGTAGTATTTATCGGCAGCTGAAGCTCATTGGCTGCTATAGCTGCTGCTACTGCTTCTTCTGCTTTTTTAGTGACACTTGCTTGCAATGCGGAAGGGATGCTTGGTTGAGTCTTTATAGCTTCTAGGTCAATATCAACTTGAGTGGGTGATTCAATTTTGGACAATGCCTGGTTGAAAGAACTTGTTTTGGTGCTTGGTTCTCCACATCTGGTAAATACCACAATAGTTGGTTTCGAATCTTTAAGTGCATCTATAATTTCTGGAACTAATATAGTTTCACCATTTCTAACATGAAAATATAGAAACATTTTTGATGATTTAATGGATGGGTGACCAATTGCATTATGAGAAGTATTACATCGACTTGTATTAATGTTAAAAATAGTCGACGTTGTTGATGAGAACTGAGATATTTTATCCGAAGTATATCGTACAGGTGTTGTTGTCAGATGGTTTTGATCGTCAGTGTATTCTGATATTGAGGAGAAACCAATAACTGATGATTTCATGTCTACTGGCTGTGGAGCATTAGATATTCTAGCTGTTGTGTGGGCAAAGCCATTGGTGTTTTCCTCTAAAGTATCTGTAGAATATGAAGTTATGACTAAAATTGTACACTTACTCGATGTTGTATCTTCCGCTATAGAACTATTTGCAGGATATACTGTTGACTTGCCTGCTGTTTGTAGTGTTGCTGTTGGTTCTCCACTATTAGAATTGCCGTCGTATTGATGTAAGACTTTCCTCTTGGATATCAACTTTTTTTTTTCACTATATGTAATATTAGGTGTCGGTGAAAAGTATATGAGTTTAAGATTAACAAATTTATCTCCAAATTTAGTTTTCAGAAGTTTTTTAATATCTTCAGTACAGATATTCATTGTTTCAAGTGCATTATAAAACAATGGTAGTTCGTATGGTTCAATAAATCTGTTTAAAACAACATGTGCCGGCAATTTCAGCACGATTTTAGTCTCTCGAAAAGGTCCGCTTTGCTTACTAACGATTATTCCAGCCACAATAACAGACGTTATAACGCCAACAATTGTAGCCGCTGATATTACAATCATTGTAATTCGCATAAATACCGTTGGATCAGCAATTATCATTAACGTCATTGCACTAGTTTTGGAAAAAAAAAGGAGAATATTAATATAAGTATTTTGTCTAAAAAATATTCACGATAATATAGGAGAAAAATAATCGTGCTTTTTATGCACAAAGCTATCAAATGGTTAATAGGTAGTTTTTAAATAAAAAAAAAGTAAGCCATCCCGAGAGAAACGAGAGAGAGAAACAACACGACAAAAAGGAAGTGATTGTATAACACAACCCATTTAATGTGTAAAAAAAAACAAATAAATAAAAAAGTTGAGTATCAAGCCATTTATCATAACCTCAGTCATGCTCTTGTAATAACATATTCTGTATCTATTTGGATTTTTTTTAAAGCAAATTTTTTCAATGAGCCATTTAATTCTTGTTTTTGTTTTCGAAGTATCTTTTACGAAATGAAATAGTTGCAAGATAATTACTTCATATTTGAATTTATTCCTGTTACAAGCTATGCATTTTTCTTATTGTTTATGTGCTTGCATCAAAAGATGAAAATAAAAACATTTAGAAGAGAACATTGAATATTTTTTCATCAAGATTAATATTCGTCATCATTGTATCAATTTTCTAATAATTTATTATGAGTTTTCATTGGTCAACAGGAAATCGACATGCTCTAACAATTGAGTATTTATAATTAAATTTCTTTCCACTTATCGCATTATCAAAGCGCTTCATGTTTATGATATTACATTGAAAATACTCCAAAGAATATTGCCAATATAGTACTTACCACAATCAGATTGAAACTAAAATATAGGTTAAGTTCTGTATTGTTAATAATAATGCTAAGGAGATCTGTGGAAAATTTTTTCAATGAATCATCTGAAAGTAGTTACTTTTATCACTTGAAAAAAGGAGTGTTGATACTAAAATGTAACATGTCTATTGTAAGAAGCTGATTGTTTCATGAATTCATCATATCATTTTTCTGTTCATAAATGCACTGAGAATGAAAGCTAGATCGGTAAATTATAAGTAGATACTGTAATTACATCTAATGCTAATCATGGATTTGAGGACATGCACCTTTTGGAATACACGGCAATGAATCTCTTATTGCAATCGCTTATATAACTTCATTAATCGAACATGGTACATCGCCTCGATACTTTTTGTTTTTTCAAAATAACGTCAAAGTTTTGATGATTGCAAAAAAAGGTGATGCGAATAACTTTAAGAACAACACTGTTTCTTTTGATTCTGTTCGAAGACAAGAAGCAAGAAATTTGTGTCATGAACAAAATTATATTTTTCCTCCAGTGAAAAAAGTTCAACAACAAATGAAGTACAGTCACGTTTCTCATATTTTTCTTGAACATAACAAACAATAATTCTGCTTTTGAAGACATCATTGGAAAGAGCAGAGTGTGTCTGACGTAATACGTTGATCTACTTTCAAAAAACATCATGTTAAAGTATCTTAAAAGCTCCAATCTCGAAATCTATACAATTACCAATATGGTTTTCATGAAAAACTTAGACTTTTCGTAGTTTTTTAACGCAAACTGAATATGAAACTATATGATCGAAAACAGCACAAGAAGTTACATCCAATGAAGTTTTTTTGAGTGCCAATCAAAGTTCTTATCCACCGGCTACAATAAATTTATCATTTATAGTAATATGAGTTGGTTTCACAATTTGCACCATAAATGCTGTGTTTTGAGACTATCAAACATGTGAAACCAAGTCATATTATTGTAAATGAAAAATTTATTATAGTCAATGGATAAGACTTGATTGACACTCAAAACAAACTTAATTCGATGTAACATCTTGTGCTCTTTTCGATCATATAGTTTCATATTCAGTTTATGTTATAGAACTCGAAAATTCTAAGTGTTTCATGAAAACCGTATAGGTAACTGTATAGATTTCGAGATTGAAGTTTTTAAGATACTTTAACATGATGCTTATTGAAATTAGATTAACGTATAACGTCCGACACACTCTGCTCTTTCAGATGATGTCTTTAGAAACAGAAATATTGCTTGTTATGTTCAAGAAGAATATGCGAAACGTGACCCTACTTCATTTGTTGTTAAACTTTTTTCCGCTAGAGGAAAAATATAATTTTGTTCATGACACAGAGACTAGGACTTATGGAGTCTTTCTATATGTACTGGATGAATATAATTCCTAACTAGCTATATTAATCTTTAACATTTTCTTGCTTCCTGTCTTCAAATAACATCAAAAGAAACAATGTTATTCTGAAACTTTTTTTCGTCGCTTTAAGCAATAGGAGATGCAATCATGCATTTTCGTTTATTTTTTTTGTGATCATATCATATACAGTGACAAGTATGTCGAACGCATACAGAGAATGTCTGTAATAATAAAAATATTACCTCAAGAAAAAATATTGTAGTTTTTCTACAGCAAATTAATAATGATTGATCGAAGCGTCGTCGATGATGAAATGCAATAAACACGAACTATTGAATGATGCATATCTTTCCCTATGCATTATCACTCATAATGAGAGTGTTGTTTCTTTTTTTATTTATATCACGATTCTTGATGATTTCTGCAAATGAGACCGACTACAATTTGGCAGATAGTGGACCCTAGGATGTGGGTGTGTGGGTGTGGGTGTGGGTGTGTGGGTGGGTGTGGGTGTGGATGTGGGTGTGGGTGTGGGTATCATAATGTTTGAATACCCACACCGCATACCAGAGATGGGCACGGTTCGGTTCGGTTCGCAGTATGTCAAAACATTTTCGGTTTCGGTTCGGTTCGGTTTTTTTACCTCAACGGTTCGGTTCGGTTTGGTTCGGTTCTAATTTAAATTGATTCAGTTTAGATCAAATTTTTTTGAATAGGCATTTTTATTTTTTACATTCGTGGACGCTTACGACATTTTTTTAGATCAGTGTGTATACATGGAAAGCAAATAAAATGAACCATCAAAAGATGTCGTAAGTAACAACGAATGTATTCATATATTCTCTATGGTCTTTCTTTATTCGTCTACGAATAACAGGACTTGCATAGACAATTATATTTTTGATGTATAAAAACATTTACGTACTTTTAGTGGTGATCAAGTATATCGAATTTAATATAAAATGAATATTTCTCCCGTATTAAACGTGCATGATGTTATTGAACTTGATTCTTCGCCACATTCCAAAGATATTCAACAAACTACTTCTATTTCATCTGATCTATCAAATGTACCTCGTACTTTTTTACATTTATCTGCAGAAAATATTATTTCGAATTTAAAATTTAATAAAAAGAATTGGTTTGTTGTTGATGTATAAGATAAAAAGTCTAATTGTTGGCAATGTTTCGGTATTCCTGCTGGACAACTGGATAAAGAAAAAGAAGAAATTTTTGACAAATTTGTATCATGTAAGTATTGTTATGTTACATATAGTTATACATCTAGTACCAGAAACATGAATAAACATATGGAACTATGTGATGCATATAATCCTAAACAAACTCATTTGGCAACATCAACAGCATTTAATACTTTACAATTAATTAATACGTCAATTTCATCAAATACATCGTCATCTTCTTCAATTTTTTCATCTTTAAATAATAAAAATCTTGAACAACACAAACAAAAAATGACCAATTTGTTATCTGAATGGATATGTACAAATATCCGTCCATTAGGTCTCGTCGAAGATACGGGATTTAAAAAAATAGTTAAAGAAGCAATTCGTATAGGTACTTGTCGCATCGAAAGCCATAAATAACTTGAATATTATTAATTTTATTTTATTCATTTAGGTTATACTTGTGGTCCAATTAAATCTGATGCTATTTTATCATCTCGAAGAACAGTAACTAGACAAATAAAATCCACTGCTACAAGTGGACATGAACAAATTAAAGAGATTTTATTAAAAGCTGCACGTGAACGATCATTAGCTTTATCACCTGATATTTGGTCAGACGCATATCGTCAACAATCATATTTAGGATGTACAGCTCATTGGGTTGATGATACGTGGAATTTATATTCGTTCGAGATATTTTGTATACCATTTGATACTCCAAATAAAAAAGCACCTGATGTGCTGAAGGTGAGTGAAGTCGAACTTTTAAACAATTCTAACAACTAATGTCTCATTATTCCCTATAATTTTAGGTCTTGAAAAAAGGTTTATCTCTTTATGATCTCACACTATATATGAGAGATATTATTTGGGTTACGGATCGTGGATCCAATATTAAAAAAATATTGGAAGAATATGAAGTTGTATTTTGTGCAGCACACAGAGTCAACAACATTCTTGAAAGACTATTTTTTCAAAGTAAAAAAAAGAAAAAGAAAAAGAAAAACGTACAATTACATGATGAATGTCAAGAAGATAATGAAGAAAAAATGTCTGATTCCGAAGAATCAAGTGAAGATTATGATGATAATGCTATGGATTTACAACAACATCAACCAACTAATCAACGACGGTAACATCATCAACAAAAAATGCTTAATCCTACATCAACCGTTACGACAGTCAAACTCAATCATTTGGTTATGTTGGAGTCAGAAATTCCACCTGAAGCAAAACGTATTGTTATTTTAATTGTTTCTGTGAAACAGTTGGTAACATATGCTAAATTAGTATGTATTTCATAAAATTTCTTAGATCACTAGATTCAAAGATAAAACATTTATCTCATTTATTTTAGGTAAACATTAATCAAGCTCTTGAAGATAAAAAATCTCCTCGATTGATACAAAGTACAATCGTTCGATGGTTATCAATGTCTGATTGTCTTGAAGCTGCAATAAGATCGTTTTTACCATTAAATGAAATATTTGAGGAAAAACAATTGGATAAAAAACGTTTAGAAAAAATAAACATTGTTTTACTGGAAAGAATCATTGAATTCTTGAAGCCATGGAAACATGTCTCAACATGATTACAATCAACGAATATACCATCAATTCACGTTGTTATACCTAGTATTGAAAGTTTAAAAGCAAGTTTAGAATGGATTTCAAATGATTCAAAATTAGCAAATGAAAAAGGTAAGAATTATTGAGGGTGTGGGTGTGGGTGTGGGTGGTGTGGGTGTGGGTGTGGGTGTGGGTGTGGGTGTGGGTGTGGGTGTGGGTGTGGGTGGGGGTGGGGGTGGGGGGTGGGGGTGGGGGGGGTG